AAACCCCCCCGCCCCATGCCCTTCTGTAATGCCTTATTTTTTCCTAAAGTATTTATCATTGGTTAAATAAACATGATAAGTTACAAATAAGCATTTATCATCCTATTAAATAAATATGTTAAATCATAACATATTTAACATATTTGTTTATTGTTTTATTGTTTATTTTCCGCCCCCCTCCCCGGCCATTAGAATGCAAACTCTTTGAGGATAGGAATTGTTGTTTCTTTTGTTTCCCAGTAGATTTAAAAGAATAATTGCGCTCTGGATAGTTGTTGAATGAACAGATGAATAAAGGTATGCTTAGTTGAGGAAGAAAAAGAAAGTTGTCTGGGACAAAAGGCTAATAAGACTAATACAAAAAGAAACTCCCAAGGACAGTGGTGTCTGTCTGAGATATTATCGATCTCTCTTCCACGAAGAGAGGGCAGCTGCAGGCAGAAAAGGAAGAAGGCGGTTGACAAGCAGTATTTGCAAGGTGGGCTCAGCAGTGCTCTGTGTGCTCAGGTGACAGAGCAAGAGCTGGGCTGGGGACATTCGCAATTACCTGCACATTGAGGTCTCAAGGGTTGGAAGCTTAGATGGACAGGTTGATGCAGACAGGTTTCTGGGCCAGGGCAGGAGTGATGTCTAGAAAGTCTGTGCAGTTTGTCTCTGTAGGAGTGAATGTTAAAGGGTGTGGAGAGAGAGGTCAGCAGAGTCCATATTTATTTGTGACTATAGTCTCAATGTTCCATTTTCCAGAGATGTCACTAGCATTCTTTGGGCTGTACTCCTCTAATACCAAAATTCTATTTGACTGACATGGGAAAAAAGAAAAGTAATGAAAAATATAGAACATGACTCAAAAAAAGAAAAGTACCTCATAAGTAACTACCGTGAAGAACCTGGTGTGGTTTAATAGCACTGGTCCATTCTGCTCTGATTGGAAATTTACCATATGGAAATCAGATCAGTTTCTCTGATTCAGTCTTACATACTCTTCATTTCATTCTTAACAATACCCATCACAGATCTTTGACCTTCTGTTTTTTTCTTTATAAAATGTTAAGGAAACTATAAAAAGGTGGATAGAGTTTATACAGTGACAGTCTAATGTTCTATTCATAGTTTTGCAGGAGAAAACTTGCATTTATATATTTAAGGAAACTTTCCTTTAGAAATATTTAAGGAATCTTGCTTGTGTGTGATAGTGTTGCCAGATTTAGCAAATAAACACAAAGAATGCTGAATTACACTTGAATTTTAGGTGATCAGTAACTTCCTGTTATCAGTATGTTCCATGTGATATCTGGGACACACTTATACTAAAAAATAACCAGAAATTCAAACTGAACTAGATATCCTGTATTTTATCTGGCAACTCTATATGCAGGGTATTTTTCCGAGCAGTGAGTATTTGCAATGTGAGAAGGCCCATCTCAGGATAAGAATACAGAGGAATCAGACATAATTCTCTATGATTCTGTCGTGTCTCCTCAAGGCAGTTATAACCAATCTGCACTGTATTGTTTGATTTCAAAAGTTTTTAAGAGAATGCTATAAATAAAGGAAGTGATTTTCTTGCTAACTAACTGGGATCTTTGTAGAAAAGGCATATTCCTCTTTATGGTCTATATGTTTGGGAAATTTGGCTTCAACCTTCCCAGCCTGTAGCTCATTTCTTCTTAGGAAATAATTTTTTATCACTGAGTCTCAGAGCTGAAAATTCAATCTATTACTTACCTAGTGGTGAGATTTTCAAGTTAGGAATAGAGCTGTGTATTTAAGTTATCAAACCATGGAGTGACTTTTTTTTTTTTTATCCTCACCCGAGGACAGCCTTCCATTTTTTGTTCAGATAGAGTGGGGGGAGGGGGGAGAGAAACATTGATGTGAAAGGGACACATCAAGTGGTTGCCACCCGCACGACCAACCAGGGCTGGGGACAAACTGCAACCGAGGTACTCGCCCTTAGCGAGAACCGAACCCGGGTCTCTCTGGACCGCAGGCAGACGCTCTAACCGCTGAGCCAAACCGGCCAGGGCATGGAGTGACATTTTTATTGAAGAGAAAAGTCTGGTTTTACTAGTCATGTTGGAATTTAGCAGGTGAAGCTTTCTCTGGCAGGAGCATTTCTGCTTATTTTGATTTTGTTGGGACTCAAACCAAGTGAGGCTTTTGCACCACTCAGATATGAGGAATGCCCCCTGCTTTTGCAGAAAGACAAAGATTGGAGTTTAAAATGATTAACCTGCATACAAGTCCTTGGGAACTCACACACCCAAACTTCCAGTTAGTGAGTATCATGCCAAGTTTTCCTGCTGTGTTTCTTGTTTCCATATGGAAGTTCCATTGGTGTAGGGCTTAAAGAGGTCTCAAGTAGAAATGTTTAATTGTTAAACAATGTGTTCCTGTAGAAATCACGTTTCATTTGAATTCCATAGGAGAAAAGAGGTAAATAAGGCCCTTTTAAAAGTTCTATTTATAAATATGTCTACTCCAGTTCACTGTGGCAGTAAGAAGGGATCATTTGGCTCAGTGCCCATTCAGCAGGGAGTCTGGGAGCGGATTATCTTAAACAAGGCTGTAATATAGGTATACACCTTAAGATTATTTTGTTTGCAAAAAGCAGAAGCCTTCTTTGGCTAGTCAAACAAAAACATGTTTTGGCAGTACACAGGGATATCGCCTGCAATCAAAGGCCACAGGGCAGGTCCTGGGTCCTTGGCAAAGGGTGTTAATACATCTTTTAGGGCAGTGCCATTTATGTGACTCAGCTCTAGTGGATATCTTCTCTTGGGGTTTCCCTATGCTCTATTTAAGATCTCTGGGGTGACGGGGAGTCTAAGTAGCCAGGTTTAAGATGTGTCCATCTCTGGATTAATCTGTTATACAGGGGACATGAGAGTGTGGTCAACTTGTCCACATTTTCCCAGTTTAAGCACCAAAAAATTCGGTGTCTTGGGATCCCCTTTAATCCTGGGCAAACCAGGAGGGTTGCTCACCCTAGAGCATGGTCATTGTGCATGCATATATGGCTTATTAAGGGATTGCCCTGTATATTGGGGCCATTCCTGCAAAACGAGGAATAACAGTGAGCTATAGGGAAATACCTCATGGAGTGCCTATTACATTCTACTTCCTGGTGGCCCGGCACACACACACACACACACATGCACGCGCGCGCGCACACACACACACACACACACAACCCCATACATCACACAACACATACACTATCTCTTCTTCCTATTCTTTCAAAGACACCTCTTCACTACATGTTTGGTTATTTCATGTACTGCCACAAATGGACTGCTAACCTTCCCAATGGGAGAAAATCCAAAGCTGTATTCTTCTCTATTCAGAGATGATGTTGTGCTTCTAAGTACAGACTTTCTACATGATGTTTCTTCTACCATAATCCTATCACCATACCAGGGTGGCAAACGTAGGTTTACAATTGTGAGTACATGAAACACAGCGTTTGTTCTTGTATTATTGTATTATTTTCCATACGAGCAGATGGAAACCTACTTTTGCCCACCCCTGTACATTGCAAATGTACTCTGTTGTTGGAAAAGAAAATGAAGAAAAAATGTTATTATAGTATATTTTTCTTTTTAAAAAGGAAAAACGGGGCTTGGAATGCAAGAAGGTATTTATTAAACACCAATGGCAAGCACGAAAATAGCAATAGAGACAACAGTCTTCATCACTGTAGCTAGTAGTGACGTTTCTTCCTCTGCCCATTTCATGGTTTTCTGTGGCTTCAGCTGGCATCTCAAGTTGATTGGGGTGATTTGCCCAAAGGAGCAACTTGAGGGGTATGAATCTTGGTGGTTCTGCTGTTTTGGGTTGTAGTAGTCATCCATTGCTTTTACATATGGGTATGGCAGTTTGAGAATGCACCCTCAAGGATAAAATGTCCTATCCATGATCTTTCAAGTTCTTATTCTTCTTGGATGACTAGGTCAGACACCCTATTCAACCCCTAACTCACTTTTACCTGTTCCCCTAGAGAACTTCTCCCCTTTCGTGTTGCATGGAGTCTAAAGTCCCAGTTCCTTAGTCTAATACACAAGTCTTCATGCTCTGGCCCTGCCTCCTCTCACTGTGCTTGCCCTTGCCTCTGTGACCTTGCTTAACTGTGTGCCTCTCCAGCTCCCGGTCAAGCCCAGCTCTCCCTCTTTGGCAGCCTAGTGGTCTACATGCCCTCCCCGACCGTGTCTGACCTTTAAGCTTATTCATCATTGTAATTTCAATTGAAGAGCACTATCTCTTGAGCTCCCTACACCCCACCATTCTCTGGGGTTCCTTTAACGCTTGATGTTTTCATTGCTCATGTTTGGGGGAGGCCACTGTTTGATTTCTTCTATTTCTAATTCCCTGTCCTGGGCGCCTCCCTCACTCCATCATGTAGGGGCTCACCTTTATTGTTTGTTTTGTTTTTTATCTTCACCCAAGGACATTTTTGCATTTATCTTAAGATAGAAGGGGTTGGGGGTGGGGGGTGGGAGAGAGAAACATTGATGTGAGAGACACATGGAACCTGGGTCTCTCTGGTCCAGCGGCCCACGCTCTAACCGCTGAGCCAAACCGGCCAGGGCAGGGGCCCTCCTCTGTTTTAGTTGTTAAATAAGTGATAGTACAGTAGGTGACAAAAACTTGGAGAAATGAAGCAATGCCCCCTCGTACTGCGATGCTTGTATCACACTTGCGCTGCCCAGGGCTGTGATCAACCTGCTTATACTTGTGCCACCAAGGCGGAGGGCAGGGGTCGGGGTCCGGGTCACCGTGCTCTTCCCAGGGCCGGGCGAGCCGGAGTCAAGCGAGTGCAGAGGCGATGCCCCGGGAGGAGAAGGAGCGCCTGCGAAAACACACCTCGGTGCTCCGCGAGCCGCGGGCGGGGCGGGACTTCCGGCCCCTGTAGGACCGCCTTCCGGCGCGAGGCGGAAGCCCGGCTCCGGTCCGGATCGGAGCCGGAGCACCCGGGACACTTGTGTCCTCAGCGGATGCTTGTCGGCCCCGCAGCCGCCCTGCGCCGCGGGACGGGGAGACCGGGTAGGGACCGGAGAGTCGGGCCTCCCCGCGCGGGTGGGGGGAGAAGCGGGACCCGGGTTCGAGGGAGGGGACCACGATGGGGCCGAGGACCCGGGAGAGCCCGAAGGGCAGCGCTGAGGCTAGGGAGGGCGGCACGGGGACCCCGAGGGCGGCGAGGCCGGCAGCTGGCCCCTGGGGAGCTGCGGGCGACACTGGGCAGGGATGCACCTCCCGGGAGGGGAGCGCGTCCCGCGTGGGGGAGTGTCCGGCACTTGGCCGTGGACGAGGGTGGCGCGAGACGGCAAAGGCTGGCGTCCGGGCAGAGGTTCGAGAGGAGGGGTCATCCTCCGAGGGTCCTTGAGGAGAAGGACGTCTTGATGTAACGGATTAGGATGGGATGCTGCGCCCGTGTGGCTTCATTTTCGGTGAATACCGGTGTGTGCGTGCGCGCGTGTGCGTGTACCTGTGTGGATTTCAGGAGAGTATTTCACGTTCCTCGGGAAGCTTGAAGTCTCCTTCGTTCAGGTTCCAACCAATGCCGCATATCTTGGTCCGAACGATGCAGTCCTTTCCAGTGGTTTCATACAAGCGAGCCAAGCGAAGTTTCCCTCTTGCAGCCTTCTCTGCCCTGCAGAGTGCAGGCTCGGTTCCTTTGTCATGGAATGAACTTTTCAAGTGTATTTACAGGTCTGGTGATCATTACGCGGAAAGCCAGCTGTCAGCGTTGGCAGGCCTTGTTTTCCTGCCTCTTTCTCACAAAATACTAACAGTTGTCCTGTTGGGTTTAGTTTTTTCCGCTTAACCAGTAAGGGCAATTTTAGATTAGGGTGTAGTCAATTACTAAGTTTCTAAGAACTTACTGTAACTTTTTATTTCTGCTACAAGGAAATAAGTCTATTTGCCATTGGCCGTGTTTTTAAAAATATTGGTAACCCGAGATTTGTTGTCATACACACATGAACACATTTAGTTTTCTTTAATAGCCGGTGTATAATATGTGGGCTTGTTTTGATCATTACCCGAGATAATTATAATTAGTTGTTGTCTACATTGTATTTATGTTTTATTGGCTGCAATTCATACATATTTCCTAATCTACACCGTATTGTATCTCACTAAAGTGTGATTACAAAGACTCTCCTAGCTTCAAATAGATTGTAAGTGAATTGTTTGTTCACCACAAACTGGGCAGGGTAGTTGGGGAGAATGGTAACACTGTCATTGGTGGAGGGTGATATCTGCTGATTGGTGTGCTTGTTTCCAGTGTTGCATATTTCAAGTGTTAAACTTTATTACTTTTAAAATTACTGTGTTGGTACAGGTAATTTTTAGATCTGATTTCGTGCTCTGACTTGCACCGATTCACATAAATTAGAACATTTTATATTTATTGCCGTGTTGCTAGCTTATAAATTATTTTTTCCCAGCTTTTTGAAGTATAACTGACAAATAAAAAGTGTATATATTTAAGGTGTAGAATATGCATATGAATAGTGAAATGATTACCACAATCAAGCTAATTAATGGATCATAACCTCACATTGTTACCATTTTATTACTTTTAATGTGGTTACAACACTTAGGATCTACTTTCTTCCAGATTTCAAATGTACAACATTATTAACAATAGCTTATAAACTCTTGGAAACAATCTGTGCTTTAATTTTAATTTCCTTACGTTTTGTGGCTCAGCTGATGTTAGCAGTGGGAAGCAGTGCCTAATCAGAAACAATGTAACTTTAACACATAAATGAGCATATTGAACACTTTGTGAATTAGGAAATGAAAAGACGACACTGATCTTTCTAGTTATTGAGTTAACTGCTATATAGATTTCTATATGTTTAATTGGTATACTTGAATCTTACTTCATTAAATTAGACAATGCTGTTTTTTCTGATAAGACTCATTCTGTTTTTTCCATACAATCTTGATTTTAAAAAATGTATTCTTGCCCCTTTCCATTGGTTTTTTGGGGAAAAGCACTTGAGACAATATGCAGGTCTTTAGACTAGTTCTCGGTAGGTTAGACCTTCTGTGGCAGGTTTCTTGGAATACATCTGAATGGAATGTTTGAAATCTGAGTACATTGTGTTCTGGATAATCTTTGGAATTTTTATTCTTTGTTCTAGTTGTTGTGTAAGTTTCTCAGCTTTCTCTAGATAAATTCTCTATGTTATTCTGTTGGATTTTGATGTATTTTACAGCTTAACCAATCATAACCATTTTTTATCGGGTTGTAGCAAATTACTAGTTATTCTTATAGATTTCTTTTTATTTTTGCTACAGTGAAATGTCTATCTGTGCATCGCAAGAACTGTGAAAACGGCGATAACCAAAACGCTGTCTTCTAATATGCATACGTATCCATTTTGTTTTCCTTAATTACCAGTTTGTAACATAGGATGTAATTTGAACTTTGTTTGGTTCGGTACTCTCTGATGATCAGTTTTATAATACATAGCCCATCCTCAGCTATCGGTGTACCCTCGTTAGAAAGCCATTCCAGCCCTGGCCGGTTTGGCTCAGCGGTTAGAGCGTCAGCCTGCGGTCCTGAGAGACCCGGGTTCGGTTCCCGCTAAGGGCATGTACCTCGGTTGCAGTTTGTCCCTGGCCCTGGTCGGTTGTGTGGGTGGCAACCACTCGATGTGTCCCTTCACATCGATGTTTCTCTCTCTCTCTCTGTTCCTCTCTCTCCCTCCCACTCTACCTGAACAAAAAATGGAAAAATGTCCTCGGGTGAGGATAAAAAAAATAAAATAAAATAAAATAAAAAAAGAAAGAAAGCCATTCCAGGTCATTTGATAGAATCGGGAGGCTTTGTTAACAGCAGAGGAATACAGCTTTTGCACAGGGACTTGCCAAGCCAAGTGTTGGTCCTCTGCTGACTTACCACCCAGCTGCTGCATTGCCTGTGATGTAAGCATGGCCCTCAACCAGATGGGCTGACGCTCAGTGTACCCTTTCTTTTAGTATCACTCTCTGTGCGTTTTCTTCTGCCGAGTTAGACCTTTCTCTCCTATTGACTGTGATGACCGGGGCCTCAGAGTGACTCGGGTGGCAGGGCAGCCAGACAAACTGCAGTCCTGTTTGTATAGCCTTGTCCGTTCTGCTGGGTCTGGTCCTGTAAGTCTTGGCCGACTTTCCAGCCTCCAGGCATGTGGTTATGGCTGTGAGCCACTTGTTTACGTTATTGTTGTTTGAAAAAAAGTTTCAAACTAAACTGTAGTTGGTCAGATGATATAAATGGACCCGATTTAGTTTTGCTTAGAGTGAGGCATCCCATGAACGTACACGTGGACTTTTCTGTTGCAGAGATACGACACCTCAGGGCTACAAATACGATAGAAAGTACACCGATTGCCCTGAGTAATTGTTATTAGGTTTTTAAAATGTAATGTTTGAAGGGAAAGAAAAGCTGTTGGATAAAAGACTTGGGCAGAGGTGGGAGAGGCTGACATAGTAAGGGGTGATGGTAGGAGCTGTCCGCAGTGGTTGGAAGAACTACCTTAGCACTTAGGTTGTTTAAAATTGCCAGTGCTTCATGATAATAAAAAGCAGAAAGACTTGTCCTTGGTATTAGTATTGTTTTAAAGTACTTGTCTGCAGGGGGTAGGGAGAGAACTCCCTCTCACCTCCCTCTTTTTTTTTTTTTTTTTTTTTTGGTACATGCCGCTTGCGGGAACTGAACCCCAGACTCTGTTCTGCAGACCGACTCTCCAACCACTGAGCCAAACTGGCCAGAGCTCACCTCCCTCTTTCTCCTCCATGAGAATGACCTGAGGCTCTGGAAGTTCAAGTTGATATGGTAATTAGGATCATGGAGAGGTTTGGGGCAACGGTTGAAATGTGAATAAAACAAGCAAACAAGCAAGTATTGAGGTTTGTTGTAGTGGTGGTGTTCATTTTCAGTATTGAGAGGACAGAGGCTTGGAGACTAATGAGAACACTGCAGATCTGAGAAGACCCAGCACTATATATGAGTGAATTTGTCTTAATTAAAGTGGAGGAGGCCCTGGCCGGTTTGGCTCAGCCATTAGAGTGTTGCCCGCAGACCAATGAGTTGCAGGTTTGATTTCCGCCAAGGGCATGTACCCCAGTTGTGGTTCGTCCCTGGCCCTGGTTGGGGTCGTGCGGGAGGCAACCACTCTGATGTGTCCCTTTCACACCCATGTCTGTCTCTTCCTCTCTCTCCCTCCTACTCTATCTGAATGAAAATGGAAAAAAAAATGTTTTCAGGTGAGGATAAGGAAAGAAAAAACCCAAAATAAAAAAATAAAGTGGAGGAGGGGGGCAGTCCCTAGGAAGTGATGCATAATCCAGTTCTAGACTTTCCCACGAAAACTAATGACTACAGAGAAAAGAAGTATCAGCTCCTAATGTATTAGGCCTAAGTGAGGACTATATCATAGTAATTGAATAGAGTTGCAAAAAAGAAAAATGGTACCAGGCACCACCCATATACCCTTTATTAGCGATTCACCTGTTGTTCAGATTTGGCCCCGTTTGCTTGGTCACTGAAGAACAAGAACGCTTTTGAGTAAAGTAGAATGCTTGCATCAAATATATTCCCAAGGTGAACTGCTAACCTCATTTCTCCCCCTAATAAACAGTTATTTATTGGCTCTAGTTCTGAGGGGTAGAGCTAGGAAGTACCTTGGGAGAGAATCTGATTTGACTCCCGAATTTACAGAGGAACTCTGTTAATCTGGTCTTGTAGTCACACAACTGATGTTTGAACTGAAACATGGGCCTTCATATTTCTTCCTGTTGAGTTGTGTCCTGCCTGTGTTCAGCCCGCCTGTGTTTCTGCCTCTAGGGCAGTGGTTCTCAACCTTCCTAATGCTGTGACCCTTTAATGCAGGTCCTCATGCTGTCTGTGGGCGTGTCTGCATGTGGGCGTGTCTGCATGTGGGTGGACCCGCCTGGAGACCATAGAGGAGCGGGGTCTCAGTTCCTCAGACAGTCTAAGACCACCAGAAATATATGTTTTTCGATGGTCTTAGGCAACCCCTGTGAAA